AAACCTATGGTTTTTGCCTTAACCACGGCTTAGCCAACCGATGCAAAAACCGACTGAAAAATCCAAAGTTCTCCAAAATAAAAACCATGTGTTTAAAACACTTATTTGATGTATTTGGCTAAGAAATCAGGTGAGACACTTTAAAAATCACGTCATTTGAGTAAAAACCACGGCTAGCCAAGTTTACGCCGTTTTGCGTGGTTTTTGTCAAACGACTAAAAGCGAGTGATGGTTTTCAAAGTGTTTTTGTTGGAGAACCGTTTAAACATGCCAAAGAGTGAAAGAAGATCATAAAATGCTGAAAACCACTTGGTTGGTTTGGATGCCAAAAACCAAACCCGACAACCGAAAGCCGAACGCTGGTTTCTGAGAGCCGAACACTGGATGGCTTGGTTTTTGGTTTGGGTGAACACCAAGTGTTTTTAATGACTTAAACAAGTTTAAAAACATTTTTATGATGTAAGAAATGCAATGAGTGTTTTTTGCCTAAAGAGCCAAGGTGTAAAGATTGGGTCGGTCTTGATCACAATAAAGACCGACTCAATACTATGATTAAGGTCTTCGTTCTTGGTCTTCGTTTAGCTCTTGCTCTTATCTTCGTTCTTCGCCTTGTATATTCAATGTTCCACTTGATCACGGTGGTTTGGCATTATCAAAACCTGTTACAAAAACGAACACGGCTTTTAGTACGAAAACGTGACAAGCCCGTGTTTCAACAATTTCCCCCTTTTTGATAATGGCAAACGAGACGAGACGAGGTTATGCATAGGAGGATTATTTTGAAAAAGATGTTCCCCCTTAATAGATTCCATTTTACAAAAAATTCCCCCTTAATTTATGCATAACCTTAATATCTTCCCCTTTTGACATTAACAAAAAGAATTAAAAGTAAACTTTAGAATTGTAAAAGTAAACTTTTTATTCATGAAAAAGGGAAATGCGGAATACAACGGAATGGAAAAAATAAGAAATACAATCATAGGAAGAAGAGAAAAGAGAAGTCTAAGCATCGGCGTCCTCGACGTCCATGGGATCGCCGTCGACCGCATCTTCAAAGTCGGCCTCGTCGGGGGAGGAGGATGGAGCATAGGAGTTATCCTCCTCGTCCTCGCCTTCATAGTTTTGGCCGAGGAAAGTGCTGTCAAAGGGCGGCGGGACGTAGTTGATGCCGCGGAAGAACGTCGTCATGTCGTGGTGTTGGCGTTGCAGCATCCAGTCCATCCGCTCAATTGACTGCCCCTTGCCATCCACTGTGAGGGTTAGCCGATTCAGAGTATCGGCTATGGATTGCAAAGAGGCCTTGGCGGGAGCGGGGGCTGGTGCACGACTTGGGCCTGTGCCGTCCCGGTCTCCGGACTTCTTCCGGAAGGTGCTGCCTTGAATTATCCAAATCTTTGTCATCTTCGTATCCGGGCCGGCGATGGAGATGTCAGCGGAGATGATGAGGTCCATGACGAGGAAGGCGTATGGCAAGCTCCGCTCAGTGGCGATGGAGGCGCAATCCGCCATGTGGATCATCACGAATTTCGCCCAATTGATGGAGGCTCCGTGGATGATGGCATGAATCGCCTTCAAATTCTCGTTGAAGAGCGAGGTATGGCTGCTATCCCGGGGGCGGAGAATCCGGGTGATGATGTAGAGGAGGAGGCGCTTGTCTGGTGGGGCCGAGTGAATCGTCGGTGCGCCGCTGTGGTGGATGAGGTTGGTGATCCCAAGCTCTCGAACGACGACCGCCTCGTTGTTGAGGATCCAATCGTCGCCACCATAGGTTGCGATGTCGTCACCGCGGATGGGCAGCCCTGCGACCCGAGCAAAGGTAGGCAAATCAATCTCTATGTCGTAGAGATTGATGCTGCTGCGAATGGTGTCCCCGTCACGGCAGAGATTGGAGTAGAAAGCCTGGACGAAGGCGGGATTGAAGCTCGAGCGGCTCTTGGAGACGAATGGCCACAAACCCGACGCTTGGAGTTGGTTGTCGAGGTCGTGGTACCCTTTGTCTTGGGGAAACAACTCCGGGAGCACGCGAGGTGGAGAGATCGGGCGCTTGGCAAAGTGAGTGAGGAAGCGCGTTAGTTCTTCCTCCGACCCGAACTCAAGAAATGATCCGTCCAAATATGGGAACGGAGGAGGCGCGGAACTTGAGGGTTCGGTGGTGCTTTTCTTCTTGGACGCCTTAGACTTTGATCTTCCTCCGGCCATGATTGAGGCGTTTTTGAAGAAAGATTGAAGAAATATTGAGATTTGGATCAAGGAATGAAATTATGATGTTAATGGTGTATTAGAATGAGCAAATATGAGGGATATATATAGGGAATGGGAGATTAGGCCGTTTGGATTCAAAAATATAGCTGTTGGGCAATTAATGTGGTGCCCAACGGCTCTGAATTTTTGAAATGCAGGTGCCTTCCCAGCGATGGTAGGATCTACCCATCGATGGGAAGGTCGCCACTGGAAAGCGAGGAAG